GGTTCATTCTACTAGTAGTTTACTGCCAGGTTGACATTTCGTCTGTGGAATATTTATGTTGATGTTGGAGTGTGATGGTCGCACGCATGGTCAGCAACATTACTTCATACTAGTCAATAAGTAGCATCTGTCTGGTCTCGTCGCTACCATGCATGCGACTGCTGTTAGTTAACTAGTACTCTGTAGTGGTCTCACCATAGCCGAAGTCTCGCAGATCTAGTATGTGATTGGTGCAAAAAGCCGAGATATTCTACCGGGATAGGATCAGACGCACCATCTACTGTCAGGTGAGCTTGTTAGTATATCGCTAGTTTAAGGCTGTGTAGTACGGAGTATAAAAAAATTCTAAGTATACTTCAATAGCTGAATATCTACTTTAAACAGCCTGATTGATTGACGCTAAAAGACATGCTTACCAGGGTCATTCCTTCGCAACGGCTTCGAATGCGGCTCAAGTAGGGCTCGTCTCAGCTTCGTGTATGTATGAGCGGCCATGTGAATTTTGCTTAGTTGAGTGTAGTGATCTCCGTCGTTACTGCATTCTGTAGTGATGCCCCTCCTCTCTATTTCTTCTCGCTGCTTCACCGTGTTGAGGTTGGATTCATTTCGTATTCAGTTCGTATTCACAGTATTGGATACAGATTCACAATGTGGTCCGGACTCACGACTAATCGCTGCTCGGTCCTGTAGTATATAAACAATCATTTTTCTCTCGTCTCGCGTGTTTCTTTCTTTATCATCTCTCTGATCTCACTGAGAAACCATCATCTGCTCGATAAAGTCTATCTACTAGTATCTTCACTCGATTCGTTGAGCAAGTTGGCTAGAAAGGGTACAGTCGATGACCGACGCCTCTTCTTAATATGATATATGGTTGCTTGATATACAGCACATTGTTCACAGTATTGAGCTACTATATCTGCTTTACTATGGCGTTACCCCCCACCAGCGGATGCCTGGAGTAATCGGTACTACCTTGATCCCACCCCAAGAGGGTCGAATACACATCCAAAGTATTCGCACGTGCAGAGGAGACACTTCAAATCAAGACAACGAAGGGATAGGTATTATAGCCATCAGACCAACGGCATCTGCTTACAAAGGTCAAGAAAAATATTAAATCTTCCTGCTTGGAGCTGGTGAGACGGCCTGCCAAGAGTGCATATGCTGACGCTTGCTCCAGCACTAGGAAAGGGCGTTACGCCGCTTATCTCATTTCTCCACGTATGCCTTTGCCAATAAGGCATCGAAACTTGCTAGATGACTGTGCTGGCTGTTATGCTGTAACCAAGGATATCGCTGTGTCGGTACAACCCATGTAATATCTGGTCGGTGAGACCATCAACAAAGCTGAAAAAAAAACGCTATAATGGCTGAAAAGCGTTATTCTCCGTCCTACAGTCGGTTTCAATTCAGCAAAACATATGGGCCAAGCTACCAAATCGACCCTTTTCTGGGAGCCCATATCTCCAGCTGATCTACATGATGCTTGATATCTTCCCATCAAGATATAGCCAGCCCCTAATTACGGACAGTAGCGCGGGACTGGATAACAGAAAAGATCTTTTTGGTCAACTTCGAGCTATTACCGGGCTTTTGAGGAGCACACACCAGCAGCATTGGTCGACTGCCGTTTGTGGCTGCAAAACTTACATGAAACATCTCGAACTACATGTCTTAGAGCAGAGCACAAGGTGAAGAACTTCCTCAAGTGGCACAAATAATTATCCTTTGCGACTTAGGGAAGAGAACCAGGAGTATAGATATACTCCGGACCCATGCGATTGGTAGCCTCGAGCTTTTGAGATCTTTCGAAGCAATGCGCTATGGCTGCGCTTTTAAAGCACGCATGCAGGTAGTAATGGCCGACTGTGATTGGTTGCACCAAGACTAGAAGAGGAACGCACATTCGGGCAGCATTGCAACAATGTCCATGGGCCGCGGTCGAAATACATGCCCAATAGAACAGGATCAATGACCTTGAATGCGGCATACACATAACCATATTGCGTAAAACTTTGGCGAGATTGTCAAAGTTATGGGCTGCTCGGAACATACTATTCATAGCAGGTTCAATCAACACTTATCGAACCGCTTGCAATGCTTGACAGCTGATGGAAGAATACACATTCAACACCAAAGTCATTCTAAGCATAGAATGAACAACATTTAGTGTCAAAATACGAATCTGGAATGCTAGAGCAGCACCCACAGACGTTTTTATTCCACAACTGAAGACAGACAGTGAGGAGGATGAATGCACTTTTTTTAAGAAGCCTAGTAGTAAACTTACTACACGGCACATGGCCTCAACCTATTTATCCGCCCATTTCCTACTGGTTTACCAAGTACCCTCCTTGAACTCCGACTTTATTCCTTCTCTTCCCTCGTTTCATGCATGACCAGCCATACCTGGAATGAAGCGATCCGGCACGCTGTAGCCGTCACAGTGACCACCACAAGAAGATTATGGGGCATATTGGGGACAATGAGCGAAGCTACTCGCTTGTGTGAATTCTAGTAATAATATTGGATGATGAATAAACATGGTTCTGCATCACGCAGGCTGCTGCGGCGAGTTGATGGTTGAGACTATGTTGGCGATGGATGAAACAACCCGCACCTGTAGATCAATGAAATCCGTTTTTCTATACAACGGGTTCTCCAAGAAGGATGCTGGGGTGTGTTGATCATCGAGATGACGTGGACAATAGATGAAGCCACTCATTTCTGTAAAGTGGAGTTATGACAATCATAGCATTGTGCTTCTCCGGTCAATTATGTTGTCATTAACCTCTATACTGTGCTCTTGATATAAGTCTCTAGGCATTATGGTATCCCCGCTCCGATCTGGATCATCTATCATACTATTACCACTAGTAAATACTTCTAAGCTACTTACCCTAACATACTTACAACACCATCAAACTCTTTCCACCACCAACCCAACCCACACCACCTTATCTAGAACCGACTATATTACAATACAACACAAAGTTGGTACAACACCTTGCCACGTTTAGACTCATATAGCATAAACTAAGGCTGGAATATTATCTCAAGGCAAGATGGCCGAGTTGGTCCAAGGCGTCAGGTTAAGGTCCACCTTAATACCCAGCTTCACAGCTTCCTGATCATCGTAAGATGGCGTGGGTTCGAATCCCACTCTTGTCATATTCTTTTTGTTTTTTGATGGTTCCACTAACTACTATATCATATCGTAACCTGTCCTGCTCATTGAGTTTTTAATTATTAATTTTTAATTTTGGGTTTATTGTTCGATGGTACTAATTAGATAGATGCATGGCCTGGGTACATGCTTCTCTCACTGTGCTATTCCAAGTCAACCATCGTCTATCGGTCTACCCTAACACCTGGAATGGCAATGTGTCTTGTGAGCAATCAGTAACTAAGTAGATACACAACTGCCGTGGGGGCTAGCTAGCTAGCTAGCTAGTTAGTTAGTTACTCGCAAGGCTGACTGACTGACATACCTCACATACATACACACCTCATCACTATCCACACCACCACACTACATACACCATGCATCCATCCATCCCAACGAAACACCACCCCATTGGGGTCCAAAATCATTATTCTCCTCTATCAACTATCCATTTGTCCTAAAATCTGATCTACTGCAGCGTACACAACTAACTAACTCACTCATGTGCCAATGTCAATGACCCAACAGCCAGCCAGGGTATCAAAGCATACATCCATAAATGCCGCAACAGAAGTAAGTAAGCACAGCGGTTGTTTCAGATATAGTCAGTGCAGAAGACGGCAGATGACTTACTGTACTTACTGGACTCACAGACCACTAAGTAGCTGGCTGCATGATCATCCTTATCGCTGGGTCTATCTAGTTAGTCAGTTTCAGGTACAGCCTCAGCTGAGTGTCATCTGTAGATGTTTGAGATAGTGGGGATGAAAAGAGGGGTAGAAGACAGGACAAGACAAGGATAAGTCTAAGCCACGAATCGATATTTTTCTTTCTACTTCTTCGATGGGCTGGAGTTGGCTGCAGTTACGGCTACTATCAATAGATGCGGGCAAATAGATGGGGTATCCGCTCACGCTAGACAGGGATTCTGCAAAGCCCCAATTACTATCAATCAAGGGTTGTGGATCACACTATACTCTGAATTGTGGCCCCCAAGGGCATGAAGTTATGGAAAAAGATGCTAGGGTAATCGACATGCGCTCAATGCACTGGTAATGCTCCAACCAAGTCATCCTCACCCACCGGTTCAAAACAAATACCACATCAAAATCGACAGAGGCCGGGTTGTGTGATCACAAGAAACGTATTAAATTAACCACAAAATAATCCTGATCAATAGGAATGTAAATAGCCGTAGCACACCAAGGACACCACGTCCGAGAAGAAGTAAAGTAGAGAAAAAATGCGCAATAATCAATGGGGGAGTCAGAAAAAAAAAATCAATTTACAATCAGTACTATAGTGACAGGGAAAGGAAAAACGAGAATTTGAACAAAGGAAATAAGGCTTTATGGAAAACAGGGGAAATTCGAATGCGAGATAGGGATATGTATGCGGGAACAAACGGTTGCTGGTACAATGCGAGGACAATTCGATAGCTGCAAGCAACAGAAGGGACGAATTTTGCGTGGGTATCACGGGGGTATCCAATTAACCATTTTGCTCTTCAATGCCGATTTCCAAGAGCTGGTCGCCTCAAAGGCCACCTCCAAACCGAGAGGCACCAATCGAGACCCGTCATTCCGTCGAACCCGTCCTCACTTCGTGGGGATCCTGGGTCTGCGGCGAATGCCAGAGCACCTGCGTCGCCTTCCTGGGCATTGCCATACGTTCAATTCCCGAATCGCAAGCAGGTAATGAGACGGGGACTGCTTGTCATTCGTCATTGTTCGACCGCGGTAACCAATTCTACACTGACCGGCTATGTCGCGTTCAGTGTTGTATTGTGACAAAATATTAGTAGATGAGCTCCAAGACCAAGAATGCCAGCCTATCGGTCATCGCCGGCTCTCGACTTTGCTCGTCGACGGAAGAAATCCATTACTTTTCTGGCGGCGCCAGAGCTGCCAGGCCGGTGCGCCAAGTCGCGTTCGTACTCGTAGGCGTCTGCGAACTTCCGGTGGTTCTTGGGTAAGACGCCAGTGCCTCGTCCAGGTCGACCAGCCTGCATTGACGGCCGTGGCGTCTTATCGTACGGGGCGGAGTATTCCTCGTAGTGGTTGGGTGCTGAGTGGTTGGCGTACTGGTTGCGATAATAATGTTCATTCTCATTCTGGTACACTTGCTCGGCCGAGGTCGCGCTGTAAGAGGTCGGTTGGTATATTCCAGATTGGTTCGAGTGTAGTACGGCAAACTGTTGGTCAATCCGGGCCTGGTAGTTGATGGGTTCGTCCTGGGTCAGGATTTCGTCTCCCGGAGCACCCTCAGGCGCCGCTCCAATGGCATCCTGTGTCCCATAGCTAGCTGCGCGCGAACGAGCCTGCATTGTGCTGGTCGACGGACGTGGTTCGACCCGGTTTTCCGTCGAACGGTCTGTTTGCGACTCTTCATCAGGAGTTTGCGATCTGCTGGAAGAGAATCCCTTCAGGGAGAATGATGGCGGTAGGAATGAGAACCTTCGAGGCCGGCCTTCCGCACCAGATTCACTAGTCTTACGGTTATATCCATATTGCATGGAGCGTCGTGAATCCATCGACATCCGGGTGTCATCCCCACCGTATGGTTCCTTCATACTCGTAGGCGGATAACGCTTGCCATTCTTCTGTCGAGGACCGCTACCCTGTCCACCACGCCCTCCGAAAATGGAACCAGAGCGGCCAAACAGCTTCTCGCCAATGCTTGATACCGTGTTGGATCGCTTGTGGCCCTTCGGGGGCTCTTGTCGGGGTGTCGTGTTGAACTTAGCCGGCAGTTTCTGTGTACTTGGTTGACCAATGGACTGTTGGGACGACGAATCTTGCTGGAGAGGGGCGGAGATAACGTATTGCTTGCTCTTGGGTTGTGCGAGCCGACCCTGGGCGTTCGTAGCGGCCACAGTTGGCGCAACCGGCTGTCCATAAGAGCCTCGTGATGGCAAACGACCGGCGTTGAACGAGGCCATGGAGCCACCGGTAGTGGGGCGGGTGGCATGGGTCGCAGATGTTGGTGCCGTCCCAGTGAGTGCAGAAGTATCGGACGTTGAGCGAGGCAAGTGCCCAGGAGCAGGTGCCGGCGCCGGGCCAGCGGCTGCCTTTGGCTCTCCAGTCCGCACGTTGGACGCGCCAGACATATCACGGGCCAGGGTGCCCGACGGCATATTAGGCACGATGGGCCGACTATTTGACCTGGCTCTCGTCGGTCGAGGCTCCGACGGCCCAGCTGGCTCCGCGATACCTGCATCCACTCCGGTAGGGACCTCGCCCCGCGCAGTTTGAGACTGAGGTGCAACATATTCGACCTGCACGGTTCGTCGTTTGGTGTCTCGAGGAGTCTTGGACCGTTCGACCGCCTGCTCTTGGGAAATGTCTCCTGCATGGTGGATCAGTCCTCCCACCGAGGGAACAGGGCTATTGTTGTATGTCTTCGGAGGCTCCCGAACGGATGCGCTGCGTGCCAGCGACGGCACTTCCTTGTGCGGTTCTGCCCGAGACACCGGGTTAGTGGCAGAGCCTGCAGGATTCCTGGCGGGATCCATACCCCAAGTGACGGTGGTTGTGGCAATGTCCGCAACCTTGGTCGTACTGCTCGTGATGTGGGAAACAATGTGCGAGTACTCGCTGAGCCAGCTGTGCCGGGCCACCTCAAACAGGTCTGCGCGCTTCCGAGGATCAGGCACCAAGATGCGCCTCAGAAGATCGCGAGCGTGGGGGGTCACATATTCGGGGAATGTTAGAGGGGTAGTGACAATGTACTTGTACAACAAGTTGATGTTATCACCGTCCGGATTCGCCGGGTCATCATCGAAGGGCAAATATCCCGCGAGCATAGCATACTATGAACCAATTAGCGCGTTGCAATTATTATGTTATGCGAGTGTCACTCACCAAAATCACGCCACAGCTCCACACGTCGACCTTGCGCCCAGTGTATAGCGAGTCGCTGACCACGAGCTCCGGCGCGGCATAACAAGGACTTCCACAACTGGTCTGCATCAGATCACCTCGCCTTAAACCCTTGGCGTTGGGCCTGTCCAAGCGCATCCGCTTAACAAACTCCTTGTTCGTCAGGTTATATTCGATCTCATCACCCAATTCGTCCATGGGGTCGAACGTATTCGCAAAACCAAAATCGGTGATAATAATGTTGCGATTCCGGTCCAGCAACAAGTTCTCCAGTTTCAAGTCACGATGGACAATACCCTTCTTGTGAAGATACCCGACACCCGAAACGAGTTGCGCAAACAGGCGACGAGCGGCATTGTCCTTGAGGTACCGATTGTTCAGAATATGGTCGAAGAGCTCACCCCCAGAGGCGTACTCCATAATAATACCGATGTGACGGTCCGTCTCGACCATCTCGTGGAGCCGAACGATGTTCGGGTGAGCGAGGTCACGCAAAATTGAGATTTCGCGGTAGATCTTGGGTAACCGGCTAGGATTTGACCCAAGAGACTCCCTGCGGATGAGCTTGATGGCTACCTGTATGGTGCCGTCTCTCTTCCACCCCAATTTCACCTTGCCAAACTCGCCCTCACCCAGCGTCTGTCCAAGAATGTACTGACCAAACGTCGTCTCCTTGCGCTTGACAGCATGATCCGAGTAGTCGTGCCGGCTTCGTAGTCCACCTCGACCTCCATCATCCACACCATCGCTTCCCACCAAGCCCAACCCGGATGCCGGAGCGCTCTCCGTCGATGGGGATACCGACGAGCCGGCCTGCCGGACCTGCTCCCGTTCGATGTCCACAGACGGATCACTCACCAGGACCTGATTGAGTACTGCGCTAGACTCCTTCTGTAGCTCGCCCTGGCCTGCATAACCTTCCATGTTATCCTCCGAAGACGGTGCCCCCGGCGCGTGGGAGCTCGGACCCTGCGGGTATTCCTCGGGCATGTTCACCGGGCGAAATTGGCTGTCCTCCCCCTTCCTCTCACGGTGGCTTGCACTCCGGTCATCGGCTTTGTTCTTTCCGTGACGAGAACTCGAGGAATTTTCGGCGGAGGATGAGGAGGGTTTTGCACTCGAACCATGGTGACCGCGGTGAGTTGACGACGTCCTCGGCGGCGGGACGGGCGGAGCACCCAGTAGGTCGGGGTAAGCGGGAGAGCGGTTGTTGTCCTGCTCGGACGGCGCTGCGGGTGTCAAGGCTGGGGATGCATGGGTGGTGAGCGGCAAGGACTGCGATTGGGAGTCGTTCATAGCCGAAAGAAGCTGTCAGGACCGAAGAGGAGGCTAGCTGCTGAGCCGTTAGCACTACACGGATTGCGCTGTGTGACGCTCCATCGCGGCGACTGTCGCGGCGACGCTGACAGCAGAGTTGCGGCGCATAATTCGGAATGACGGAGCTGGAGGGGGAGGAATGTGGACAGGAGCAGCCACGGGGGAGGGGCAGACCAATGTGGAATCTCGGCCAACAGTGTAGGGCAGCACGTCACATACCTTCGTTTATTGAAGACGCAGCAGAGCCTTTGAGATGAGGGACTGCTGCGTTTGCGGTCCGGGGACAGCCTCTTCAGGCAGACGCGAGACGGCAGATGAGCGATCACCTCGGTTCGCTCTGATGGAGCAATTGCGATCGGCGAGCTGAATTCCGACACGTCCAAGCCCTCCAGAGGGAGATAAAAGAGGACGTCGTTGTTTTTCTTTTTTACTATCTGTTTGTGGGGGGGGGAGACAGTGACCGATCAGTCCGGAGCTAAAGGGTTCCGGTCGGGCAGCTGAGCTGTTGTCTCTCGAGTCAGTCTCAGTCATCGGAGGTCCCATTCGAACCACCGATAAGGGATGAATGGTTTAGGGAAACAACTGACAGGGTACTGGGTCACCGACAAAAGCAGAAAGATGTTGGTATAAAGGACACCAGGTCGATTAGAAGCAGCAGAATATTAGTGCAAAGCGACGTCGGCGAAAATAAAGAAGAGGAAGCTAGTCAATACTCGCGTTTGTCAAAGAAACGCATAAGCTGCTGCTTGTTGTGGATTTTGAATTTTCTTTTTTTTTTTCTTTTTTTGATTTCTTGCGAACCCCTGGTAATATTGTAGGATCGCAGCAAGAAGGGGGGGAAATATCTGCACTGCAGAATTGACTCTTGGACCTTGGCCTCTTCCCACGAGTAATGGCTACCCAGGTGGGTAATGGGTTGAAGAGGGAGAGGGGGGGGGAAGAGAGTCTGCGGCTCGAGAGATTGAGGAATTGGAGATCGGAGGGACGAGACCGACGCGGGCGGGAAGGGGAAGAGCAGCAGCCTCGGGAGAGACGCGAAATTAACCACCACGAGCCACTTTCTTACTTTAGCACGATGGACAGTCGACGACGGGAAAGCTCGCTTTGGACCTTTTCCCAGATACGGCACCAATTTCAACACTTCCGAGGGAATTGACAAGGCAGAGTGTATGCTACTTTGAATAGCATGATCAACAGGGAAGGGGAAATTGGGGAGAGGGGGTTGATGGTGGAAGGGAAGAGGGAAGAACGAAGATGCAGCAACACGCAGCAAGCCAGCAGCCAGCAGTAGTTGCTTGAGCAGCGGTAGCAGTAGCGTCGCGACAAGAGGGGTGCTTGAAGCCTGGTGTGGAGTTGTCGTCCGTCTCTGGAACGGGGAGCGGACAGGGGGGGGCGCGGCGCGAGGGGAGCAGGAAGACCGGCGGGATCAAAGGACCCAAGGGGGGGGGGAGGGCGTCTAAAAGGAAGAGGATCCCGAAACGAAGGCAAGAAGCAGAAATAACAAGTGAAGAGAACAAGAATCGAATGAAACCAGAACAAAAAGAACAAAGGGAACAAGAGAAGAGGAAGAGGAAGAGGAAGAGGAAGAGGATGGAGGGAAAGAGATGATGATGGGAAAGAAGAAAGAAGAGGGGATAGAGAGAAGGGGAGGAAGAGATGGCGGTGGTAAGTGTGAAGTCGTAGCAATACGAATAAAAATAATAATAATAATAAAAATAAAAATAATAATTTTGATAATGCTAGTTAGTCGACTACTACTAGATACAGCTAATAAGCCAGGTATTATTATTATTGCCCTCCTGCGAACGATGAACACCCACCCAAGCACTCTGACGGGGCCACCTGCTAAGTACTATCTGCTAACTGCTAACTACTTCATATCTGGTTAGTGAATGAATTGACCTGGTTACCTCGTGTCGGGAGTACGTAGCAGAATGTCAAGTATAGAAATGAGGTTCCCACCTGAATTGGGGAGCCAGAGAAACAGCAGGGACAAATAATTCCAAGGCGAGTCGCGAGAAGGAACGGGCAACCAGTCCGTCAACCAGCATTTGCTTTGCGTTGCTTTGCTGTGCTGGCTGGGGAAAGCAAAAAGCGGGTCAGCGGGTCGGATCTCTTTGCCAGGAATAATCATCGCCGCCCCAATTTAAAATCATAAGCAACTTGCCAGAAGTTAAAAGCGCAACATGGCAGTTGCGAAAAGAAAAAAAAAAAAAAAAAAAAAAAAAGGAAGTAGAAAGAAAAAGGAATTAACCAACAGGTTAATGACAGATGAATGAAGTCAAATACAGCTCGGTCTTTACTGGAAAATCAAATTCTATTTAAGACATTCATATCTCAACCTACATTTCCATAAGAGACCTACCTACATAACAGAACTACATCAAAATCAGCTGCATTGGGGGACCTCGGAAATATTGGGAGGAGCGAGGGATGTGACTGGACCATGGGAACCTTGAATACGGACGGAGGAGTGGGCTTCAATTGGGAAAACCCGACTGACTCTAGAACGTTAGTAGTGGGGATGACCGCCTTCCCTGGCTACCTAATATCCTCACGAGGTGGTGACGAAATGCTTTTTTGTTTTTCTTTTTCCTCTTCCTCTTCCTGTTCCTGTTCCCTTTCTCCTTTGGTTTCCTTCTTGGATGCAAAATGGGGCAGAAAAAGGGCGTAATGGACGCCCGATCCAGATGAGAACCACTAAAACAAGGGCCTGAACGTGGGTGTTGTCCCTTGCCTGGTTCGACCGGCCGTTGGGATTCTCCTTCTGAGTCTGGTCATTCGTCCGGATGGGCGATCGTGTACCTTATGTAGTAGTGTTCACTAGAACCGACTATCTACTACGTACTCACTTGGTGTGCCGATTTATGCATGCTTTTCTGTCGATTACCACTATAATAATACCAAGCGGCCCTCGTATACTTAATTGGAGTCTTGCGCAGTGGTCATGATCAGCCGACACAACCCTTCTTCCCAGCTGCCAGCTTCCCAGCACATCACAGCCAGACCGACAGACCAGAGAGAGAATAGACCAGAGACCAAGTGAGCATGAGAAGGCGCCAAGTCATCAGGGGCATCGAACCACTGTTTCAAGCCGGCACGAAAAAAAGTCGCTACTGGAGCCGCTGGGGCAGCCGATCGTCATTACGGCGACTAACCGGGCAGTCATCGTCTGCGCCCAACTGCTGATTGGCTGTCCGGAAGATTACCGTCCTGGACACCTCAGGTACCGCCGGTCACGCCGCCCACTGGTACCTGCCTTAGGTACCACCGCCTAGTAGGGGACTTACAGTAGTCTGTTTTGCTGGTTTGCTGGTTTGCTGTTTTAATTGTTATTCGACTTGTTATTATGATTTCCTCTCAGAATCTACTACTACTAACTGGCTTCATGAACTCCCGATCGCTACCAAATCTAATTAACTCAACTAAACGAACTTAAATCACATACACGTCAATGGATCATACCCGTCCCTGACCAAAAACAAAAAAAAAAAAAAAAAAAGCCCCCAACCACAGCGCTTAATACATCTACGTGCTCCTCTTCTTCTTTGGGTCCTGCCCCATCCTTGACCCTTGGATATCCTATCCACGGTAGGGATAACCGCCATCCCTGGAGTTGTCCTTCTTACCATGATCGGTACTCTAATTATTTGCCCATCAAGGTCGAGCTTATTTAATGCTGGTGTCATTCCTTTTTTATCCCTTGGATGATGGATCATCATACTTCCTGATATCTTTCTTATCGACTGTCTTTTTCCCTTCCATCTACATGTTCGATAAACTTCCATTCCTGAACCCCATCCTCCGCAACTCTACTTACTCCGCCCTCCAGTCTTGATAGCTACTGATACGACATGTCCAACCACACTAACCGGATTCTTCCGGAATGGAGTAGATATTCCCATGAGTGCAGCATTGGACTAACTAGCGCCAGCTTGCACGCCATTGGACCAACCACCCCATGCTAATGCTGTATCTTACTCCTACGTCTCCGACATGAAACCGACCTTGATCAGCTAGCTACCTTAGCCTGCCAGCTAGGATGCACCTCATCCAGCTATTTAATTAAAAAGCTGACAGTCTAGTCTACTCGGCTTACCCGAGAGGGAGGGGAGGGAGGGGGCCCGTCAAGCCAATCCCTCTAAAATAGGAACTCTCGACAGGGATGTTCCCAGGGAAGCAACAAAACAAAACAAGACAAGACAAAACAGAAAAAGGCCCATGCTCAATCAAGGAGACACCCCTCTTGATTACTTTTGGCGGCCTGGGCAACTACCTTTGCAGTGTAACCCTACGAGTGTACTGTAAGTAGTAACCGGATCTACTCCGCATGACGACCGACGACCAGTTCGTTACCCCAGCATCGCGCCGATGATAATAGTGAGTTTCGGAGATTTCCCCCAATTACGTATGCGCTGTGAGCCTGTGACAACTATCTACAGTAAACTCTAGCTAACTAACTAACCGATCTAATTATAATTTCAATTGCATCCCTTCATCAATCCCCTTGTTTGTCTGCTGCTGCTGGTTGTCGGGGAGATCTCCTTACCCTGCCAGCCTTATCGATGTCTTCTTCTGCAACATAATCAATGCTTGTCTGAGAAACCAATTCCAATTTGCGCCATGTTTACTTTCCCAAATCGGGGTCTGATGGGCAACTATCTGTACATGGATATCTGAAATAATCTCTGAACACATAAACACCACAGTTATATGATCTTTCCCTTTCTTGGGCTAGTCGCGTGGAACATGATCTGCATGTCTATATTACTTGTTGCCTCTGCATCGAGCTATGGGGTACTACTATGACAGGGACTGAGATATAACTAATTTCCTTTGCTTGATCTCCCCGGGAACGAGGCGGTCCTTCTCGGGGATATACATATTGCATGATCGTCTAGTAGGTAAATAATAAATTGCATTATAGGGAGCCTTGCTAGGATACCATTACCCTCTCACTCATCTCTGGGGTAAGGAAT